CGGATTAATTGTTTGCACTCTAGTCTATAAAATTCTCTTTCCTTTTACTAATAGCTAATCTCTATAAGGAAATGCAGAGGCAGCAGAAATTGAAAATAAGAAAGACAAGTCAAGTAAGAAGTTTACTTCTTTTGACTCAAAAAAAATTTTTTTTTGATGCTGGCTAATATTTTAGACTTCATGATTTCAAGCTTGAGAGTACTTTGCTAAACGTTTTTCCCTTTCTAATAAAATATAAAATTTTCGTGATGCGCCTCCTATAATTTCGAGATTCCGTTATTTCACGACACTTTAGTTTTACAATTTTGCAAATAATATCGAATTCTACGTCACTTAATTTCTCGATTTCCATTAAACATCATTAATGTTTTGATAAAATTGAACTTGTTCAATATTTGTGGGAAGGGGATGAGAGAAATTATAGGACCCTAGTTTAATGGAAAACTCCAAAAACCTAACGAGCCCATTTTTTCACCCATCACATCAAAACAAATGGCCCTTTATCTACGTTGGTGGGGTACAATGTCAGTATAACAGCTGCTATTCCCAGAGGTCTTATATTTTATACTGGAGATCCAATATAATGAATAACGAAAGCAAAAGATATTCTTGGTAAATTCCCTGATTTATGTCATCGCGAAACGAAATAAGATACTTTGACAGTATTGTTATGTAAATGAACAGCTGATAGATATCAACCAATCAAAGGCAGGAGTGAAGTAAACACAGGACTTAGCTCGATCAAAACAAAAATACGAACGAGCCAACTTCGCTACGTAATAACTTATAAGTAACTATGACTAGCAAAGGAATAAAGTTATATACTTAGAAGTATACAGACCACGAAGCCTTGATTTTTATTAATATAAGTAACAAAAACGAAAATAGATTTTTCATTTTTTTAATTTTGCATGTCAAGTTCGACGATTTCTTGGTTATATTTACAATATTAAAATCCTCGTTAAATCGAAGATAAAAAACAAAAAACTACAATAAGTTATTATGACATGACTTTGTGCCTTCGTTTATATAAATCGATAAATCTTTCTTTAAAATAAAACTCGAGCGCTCAAAACTGGAGCGATTTCATTACTTTCTCTATTTACAACATCGTCATTCTCTCCATTCATAAAATGTAGCTATGGATCTTCGCAACCAAAAGATTCTACTCAAAAACGAAACGTTTCCTTTTCAGTTAGTGATATCTTTTAGGCTGTGTATATAAATTTCAGTCATAATATTATCATATATACATTTACTGTACAAAACTCCAGTCTTCTCTTCCTAATAATGACCGTATAAAAAAAACAGACAAAATCATTATTCCCAACCGTTGTCCTTTATCATATGGATCATCTCAATAATGAACTTTCCTTCTTTGTATTTCTGACTATTTTCGAAAGCATGTTCCTGAAAGACAATGAAAAATACACTTATTTTTCAGCATAATGTTTATTTATCAATAACTGAATTTTCATTCGACATGGCATTCATTCAGCAGCAAGACCTCAATGTCCACGAACCAGCGGAAGCACACGATCTATATCGTTTCGTTTCTCCAATGAAATCGAAAATCGTGCTATTTAAAAAAATATACATATATATTATACTCACGTATTTCCAACCCAGTGTGGTTTTACAACACTCGCAGTAGATGTCAGAAACTGCGTGTAAGCCCGTCAGGAGGACCCTCTCTTCGGCTGGACCACAACCAACATTGACACTATAATAAATAACATTAAAATGAAACTCAAAATTCAAACATACAAACAGCAGAAAATGGTTTGTTGCTCGATCAAAATGAAATTGGAATGAAATTAATAAGGCGAACTTACACTTTATTGAAAAGGTATGCTCGTCCTTGGCTCCCTTGAAATGACTGAAATAAACAAACTAAATGTTTCGTAGTGCTCGATAGGTTGTTGATGTTCTTCAACTTCTTGGATCGATAATTTTGCCCACCGAAAAGGTTCACTTCAAATAATACACTAACCTTAGAAATAAGTTCATCATGATTTGCCAGGTGAGCTCTGCAGTGGATACAGCTATACCTTCGATGGCAGCCAACGAGATAATCTTGGAACGTTTTCACCATTGTGGACAAAATCGAGGCATGGAAGATCGCACGAACCGATTTTCGCGGAAAATTGACACAATCTTTTGCAACAAAAGATGTCTTATTGTCTTCTTCTTGACTTCTTCTCGACTTTATATGTAATAAAGCTGTTCTTTTTCTTCTGGTGAACTGGCTAATGCTTAAGCACTAAAGGCCGAACAAATAGATCAACATTCATCTATGTTGTTTTGAAAATTTTTTTCGATTGTCTTCTGTGTTATCATTTTTAGCTCGCGAATAGTCCACGTGATACCAGTTCGTCTTTGTCAGGGTAAACCAATCATAACAAATGGCTGTCAAAATCTCACCAATGAAAGCTCATGAACCGTAGAGGAAACAAAAACTGTCAAAGATGGCACCGTTCCAGCTCGTTGCCCATGACAACATCATGACAAAAGATGTGTTTTACACAGGAAAGTATGATGTGCGAACATAATCATTTGGCTAAAAAATAATAGAATAAAAAAAAAAAACAACATTGGAATTAAAATACGAATTTCCGTCGTTAAGATGAGTTAAGTTTGTTTTCATATTATTCTTAGATCATTTTGTTGTCTTATTAACGAAGAATCATTCAGTCGTAACCGTATTTTTTAAATCCTTTTTTATTCTTAAACTCAGACCATGGATATAAAACACAAATCATTACGGAGGTTGTAATTCTTGAGCATTTAACCTTTTATGGGTAAGAGATTTACAAACTAGAATCAGGCCATAAGCTATATTTAGTATCAGTTTTCAGTAATCAGTAATGCGCGCGTCTTCTACTGTTCTAGTTAATTTTGAAAACGTGCAAACGAGAAATTGAAATCAGTTGACTGATAATAAAGGACGTCTTCCATTTAGACCAACAACCGCGACATCCAACCAGCCATTATTAAGTACTGGCACGAGGTAAAGATGAGCCACACGATGTTATTGTGTGAACAATATATATTATTCTGTGCACGTATTTCCTATTGAGTCGGCTTTGCTTATATCCGGGTCTAAGAAGGGTCATTATGAATCATATCTGCGAGCATCAAAATCAGTTTCATTAAAATGTTTCATTAAAAAAAAAAAAAGAAAAAAAAAAACTATTGTTAAACTATTGTATCTCCAACATTTAATACTGGCTTACATTAACTTGCACCTTGTCTAGGACACAATCGGAATTTTTTTTTTCGAATTTCAAAAACTTAGAGCAAAATTTCTTAACTGATCGCTTCCAACAAATATATCTTAAACTTGGTTGCTGACCATATTTAATAATGGAGGGTTCCAGTCCCTCTCTATTCAAACTAAACAGTAATGATGAAAAGGTAAATTATAGACCGTGAAAAGATGAAAAAACTTACTGACGTTTCGGACGCTAGGCTTCGTCGGAGTAAACTATGTTAGCGTTCAACTGTTGACGGAAAAAAGGAAACAGCTGATTAGTTGTTTTCCATCATCGACTCAGCCCACGAAAACCTAGCTACGTACTTCCACCATACTTACAAGAGATAAGACGTGTTTGGGTTGAGATGGCAACGGCTTTGCATTAGCGCGCTATTCCCGGTTTTCATAGACAGTGAAGAAATTGGGGAGACCGGATAACTGTTGTCAAGGCTGGATATAGCAAGCATATGTAGTTATATAAAACAAGCTCAATCAATGCAGCCCGATTTTGACCGAATGAACAAAAATCACTGGCAAATGGAAATATTCTCCGTGTCCTTGCATCCTCCGACATGAAACTCGGCAATATCTTTCAAAAGAATATTGAACCACAGGTAGCCCAAGCTTGGTTTCTGTGGTAAGGAAATGTATGGGGATTCATCCCCACCACTTACTGGTGGGGAAAAAATCTTAAAACGGGCTAAATTCAAAAAATAACCGAAAGAAGTGATATTTCTCAATGATCGGGTAAAATTTCGAGGCTTTATTTCACGTTTCAATGATGTTATTGATATTTTTGATGAAGCCCATACATTTCCTTATAACAGGACACCACAGAAACCAAGTTTGGGATACCTGTGATTGAACTGTAAACTCAACTGTAACGGAAATATGAAGTAAAGATTCCCTCTTTCTCGGTTCCTTAGAACTAGACGCAGTAGGCAGCGTTGACTGGGATACCTGGAAGGGGGAGTGGAGGACCTGGTTTCAACATGCATGGAGTATTTAGTTGGTTGATCTTCCAAAAATACTGATAAAGTAGTACTGACAAATAACTCAATTTGGAACTGCAATTCCAGTTCCGGTCCGGATTTTGGCATACGTAATTAGGTTGTTGTTCGAGCATGTATAGCTCGCTTCAAAATCAAAATACTTCATTTAAAACGTAAATACGGTCTAATATTTGCTCCAGATCTCTCTGATAATTGCTTTATATTTTATAATGTTATAATTTATCGATATTTTTTAATGAATCACCATTTTTTTGAAGAAAAATTAAAGGAGATCATAACGCTTCGAACGGCAAAGATCAAACCCTGGAATGTGCTTAGCAAATTATTTATTTTGCTTCTTAAATCAAATAGAATCTTAAAATAAATATTGCTATGTACCTCATGTTCCTTTGTGAGTAGACTTTGAAGCCAAAACAGTTAATATAAATACATAAATGTAGGCTATAAGAATATCTATATTGTCATGTCAGCAGTCAACGAAGTGAAGCATGCGTAGACATAAACCTCTGCCACGTGATCTGCTAGCTCCGCCCTCTCATAATCACTTGACAACATAGTGACATTGATTGACATCTGGTACATGATAATTGGTTGGACTATTGATGTGAACCCCATAGCAGATGCCCGCAAAGGTCTCTTGGGTAAGTTCCTGAAGACCCCTGGGTACTATTGCGCAACTTTCCCATTTTGTCGTGGAGAAGACAGGAAAATAGAAAAAATTACAGTCAAACTACCTCAAGCGTGAACACGTAGAGGTCATTAATGACTTTATTTTTGGATTGTTGATTTCATTATTCGATTCGAACATTCATTATTGAAAACGAATCTTCAAAGCCTGGCATATACAAAAGCCAAGCATATATGCAACTGAAGTGCAAAAACAACTTTTTGTGCAAGGAATATGTAATATTAATGACTTACCTTCTCGTTTGCGCTATAAATAAGAGCCTACATGCCAAGCTAACCGAATTTTCAAATTATTTTTTTTTTTTGAATATTGAAGATTCGTTTTCATTAATGAATGTTCGAATCGAATAATGAAATCAAGAATCCAAAAATAAAGTCATTAATGACCTCTACGTGTTCACGCTTGAGGTAGTTTGACCGTAAAGGCGCTCAAGAAGCGCATGTGGTTAGTCCAAAGAAGTAATATATATATATATATTTAGGCACTGCCTAAAAGCGGAGCTCCCAATAGCARRGGAGCCCAATTTAGATAAAACTGAAAGATGAAAATAAAATCCATCGGGCAAAAATCTTCGATTTTTTGTCTCCATCGAGATGAAGACAATGTCCCCCATAAGGGAAACCATGAAGTGAAAAAATTGAATGAATGAAAAAATGAATTCCTTGTTAATTTTATTTGAAAAACGAATGATAAGTACAGATAATCCAATAAAATGTCAAGTTTAGTGAAATTTACCTTGGATGTCTTTTATTAAAATCCAAATTTCGGAGATTTCCTATCTTTTTATGGACAAATGAACATGGCATACAAAGACACTGAATAGAAAACTGCTTATATTAAAAGAAAAGGTGAGCAAAACATAAGCTTACTTTTACTTCTTTTACATGACAATGTTTGGTTATCCATGAAGAGTTTAGGTTTTTGTAAGAACCGTGTTTTTACCGCAATGAAATTAAGAAAATAAATGATTAGGTAGCATCAGCGAGAGAAAATTGGCTGGATATCATTAACTAACTAAACTTGTGAAATGTGTCATCAGTTCAAAATAGTTTTCTGATCCTAATTCTTCATTAAAATATTTTTATTCCTTTTGTATGAGCCTTAACTACTTTTAGATAAGCTTGAAAACAAGCTGTAAATACTAGATTTTGATATTCGATTTTAATTCGATTTTTTAAAAATCTGTTATCATGAGCGAGAAAGATACGGAAACTGAATCACCAACGACCGAAAAGTTTTCGAAAAACAACTGAGACAAAATAGCAAAATAGAAAATAGAAAAATAGAAAAATAGAAAATAGAAAAATAGAAAAATAGAAAATAGAAAAATAGAAAAATAGAAAATAGAAAAGTAGAAAATAGAAAAATCGGCAATGCAAAATAGAAAATGATGAACTTCCTTGTCAGTTAAATTGGAATTTGTAGATGTTTTTGAATATATAGTAGCTTTTTAAAGTGAAAGACAAGGTCTTCATACAATAACATCTTTCAACAACACAAATTCCAAATCATTTGTATAATCATACTAGCTCGAAATACTGAACAGTTAAATATTTGGTGCAATTTTATATTTCATTCAATTTTTAAAAAAATTATCCATAGAAAAATATAAAATTATTGAATGAAACTCTTGTTTTGTTTACCGATGGGACCTCGCGATAGGAGGCACACAAAGCTGTATTTTTTTGAACGAAAAACATACGATAGTTGGTCTTCGGATTATATTTCATCCAGCATTAAAATCAATTAACCTTATCCATAGAAATATTAAAACGTTTGAGAGAAATTCTTTGATTTGTCGATAAGAATTCTTGTCAAAATCAGCATTAAATAATATAATATTGTTTGCTAAAAAACACACACCTGAATTCTTGAAGGACACTTCTTGATCCATCTTTGAAGAAATGCAAGTTTTTTTAAATTTGTTGTTGGTTTATGATTTGTCCTAAGGGAGTTATCATTATTTAACGGGGGGGTGGGAGGGAGGGCCACTAAATTTATGGGGAGGGCCATATTTTTTTGGATGTGTGTTTGGGGAGGGTTGCTTTTTTTAAATAATGGGTGTAGGGAGGGCCACAATTTTTTTGACTTAAGAAAATGAAATGTTAATAAAATATTTTTTCCATCAGGATTTCTGGTATAGTATTTTTGGGGAGGGTCATAATTTTTTTTGTTTCGGCCCTCAGGCCGAAATGCTAGACTCTTCCACAGTCTCTCGCTCGTCCGTTCCGTCTCCACGCTTAGAGACTGTAACGGTACAATGACCGAAAGGACGTATGGGTCCCAAAAACTTGGACCCAGCGTGCTTTGGGAACCAAAATACTCGTCCACAGTCTCTCTCGTTTTCGCCGCCATCTTGAAAATATTGAATATTGAATTCGTTGCCGGATTCGTTGTATCAAAAGCATTAAAAGATGAATACATTTCAAGGTTAATTTCATATAGGGCTTTTAAGTTGTGACGTATTTCCGGGTCCAATCACACGAAAGATCGCTAAAATATCGCCACAACTTATTCCCAGGATAAATTCTCTACCTTCAACAATTAGATATATGAATAGAAAATTCTGCTATGAAAAAAAAAAAAAAAAACAAGAAAAAGAAAAAAAAAACCAGAAAAATGTCTGTAGAAGTAATTATCAATTTCAACCCGGAAGTGGCTTTTCGTTCGAATTACGTCAATCTTACCGTGCAGTAACAGCTCTATTATGAGACGTAAATTTCTAGTAATTCTAGGATTCACTTTTCTAGTAATTTCTATTTTGATAACACCAACTACAAACAGTGGTAACCTAGCACACAAAAAATGATAACTTCAAGACTGACAACATGGTGCTCAATGGAGTAAATAAAAGAATTAAGTCTGCTGGGTAACGGGAAAACGTATGCTTCAGGGCTCATTACGATAATTCACATGCACACATTTTCTCATTTAACTGAATATCATTACTGACTTTGTTATTTTATCTCGCTTCAGTACTGTTTGAGGGACTTGTCCAAGTGATAGCAACTCTGTATTTTTAATGTGAATAATTAATGTTTGGCGTAGATTCGGACACGTCAAGGGACAACGGTGATGCTGATGATGGTATTCCGGCACTGTAAATAAATGAATTATTGCTGACTCATCAGTACGGAATCTCAGAATAAACTTGATATTCAATTAGCCAATACCACTAGTTATTAATCCCCTGGAGCCGGGGAGTGAAGGGAACTGCATCGGAACACATGCTGTTATTCACAGGAATGATGGATTTTTAAAAACATCTGTGATAAGTTTTTGAATTCCCATGCAGAGAATATCAAAATGTTAATTGTTAGTATAGGGTACTGAACTATTTTATGTTAGCTTTCAGTGCCAGGTAGGTAAACTTTATTTAAACACGCTTGCCTCGTCAACTAAAGCTGATTTCCACAAGGGGCGTGTGGATAAACATTACAATGAAAAGCTAATACTATTTTATATTCTAATCAATAATAATAAAAAAATAGAACTAAAAATAAAATAGATATAACTGTTAATAAAGCTACAATAATACATAGTAAATTAAGTAATAATTTAATTTATAGATACTAAGAGATAGAGTGTGAGTGGCAATTTCAGATTTCAATTTGGCCAGTGATTTGCAATTTCTTACATTTTCTGGTAGGGAGTTCCAGACTTTTGCCCCATCATAAGAAAAACTTCTTAAGGCAATTGGTGCTAATTAACTGAACCAAAAGAAAGTTTGTAAGGGAGTCTGGTAGTAGAGGTCAACGACGCCATCATGCAAAGCTCCTATTTACATACGAGCATCAAGAATGTTTTTCGGTTTCTGACTATCTTTTATTATATCTCTTATTAACTCTTTGTAATTTCTTAGCCGCTTGACAACATTTTCAAGTTGAATTTCGTGACAGGGACGTTTCACGGTAACTAGAAAATATCGATACGTCTAGCAATTGAGTTATTATAAAAAATAAAATCGAAAGGGATTAATTTTTCCGTGCAAAAGAAGTATTCTAAATTCTGTGTAATCCCCCTTTTGTATGACTGAGGGTCTCCTCCTTTTCTGACCTGTAGCTAAATCATGTATACCGCTCCCAAACTATCCTTCGACCTTAGCTTAACCTAAGGTATCAAAGAAACTTTTCTAAAAACATCAAAAACACCAAACAAATGCAGAAAATATGGCTTCATGGCCATCAAATATGACTTTCTTTAACTTTTCTGAATCAAAAGCATGTAATCAAGAGTTAGTGATAAGGATTTATGAAACTTTCAATCTATGCGATGCAGTCAAAATGCTTATAATTCGAATTTGTTAACAGGTGGATTTTTTCGTAAATTTGGTGTCAATCATCCCCTTGCAATCAGATTTTTTCTTAGATTTATATTTTTCACTTATTTACGGAAAAGTATCTCGAAAACCATTTAGGTGCCCCATTTTTCTTTGTTTTAAAATCAAGATACTACCAAAATAGCGTACCCAGCGTAAAATTTTCTGAGAACGAAAACCGAGCGAAATAATTTTATAGAATCCCGAACTGTGAAACAACCCCTTTACTGATCATTATCTAACTTCAACGCACGGTAGCGCACGGCTAAAACTCACAGATTGAAATGGAATTTAGCATCGTGGAGTCGAGCAAACCGGAGACTTCGGATAAATTCCCTCGATAAGGGCGGAGACATTTTAGGGATTTTAGAGTGATTTCACTTAACTCGCGAAATAAAAATTACTTGTTAATGCGTAATAGTCAAGTAAACAAACAATAAAAACAGACGAACAAACAAACAAAACAAAAAGGAAATAAGAAATAATGGTCATAATCTCTGTCGGTCTACTAATTATTTCGCGCTTCAACGCCGGCAATAAATTTCGTTTAGTCCAGCAGTGATTTTAGATCACCGTCATCTGCATAATTTCATACAAAACAACATTGAGGATGTTAAAAAAATTTTAAAATTAAAATCCTCAATTTTATTTTGTGTAAAATTGTGCAGATGACGGCACTTTACGGTCGGACTCGAGCTTGGGGAAGGGCATCTGTACAAAATTCTCTTAAAGGCTTGCTTTTTTTTTTTTCAAGGTTTTTGTTGTTGTTTTGTTGATGATGATGTTAATGTTCATCTAATATTCCAGGCTAACGTAACTTTTATTAAAAAGAAATACATTGTGACTGATAAGCCCTAGACCGGAATGAAGAAAACGCTCAAAAAAGTTAGTTCGACCTTGCATATGGGTTCTCCAGTTTAAAAGTTCAGCCAGCATCTAACTAACATCGTGCCTGCTTGGATGACAGCTGTAATTAACGGTACCTCCCACCTTTTGCTTTCATGTAGAGTGCATAATGATAAAAAGATAAATTGCAAAACAATATTGATCCCAGCTAACTTAATTCGTGCTTTAAACTGGAGGCGGGGACTGATTAAGTTGTCGAACATTCACCCTAAACTTGGCTTTTGAATACCCCTAACTTTCACATGCAGTGGTATGTTTTACGTATTGCGTGTAGAAGTTATTTACAATCAACCTCTATTTAACGGCCACTTTACAGTTCTCCGAAGGTGGCCACACCTCATCTTAACTGTAGATGGTCTGTACTTGCGTTTAAAATAAAATAAATATAAATTATCCAAGTCTATATAGGATTTAACGCTTTATCCTCTACATACAGCAACCTATGCTAACAATAAAAATATAAGGATGTATTTAGGAAGGCTTAAATCTTCTTTAGCTTATTTTAAATTTAGAATTTTGCAAGAGGACAAAATTAACAATAAGTCATTAAAAACTATAACGACGAAATATTGTTTTAATGGTCGGGTCGTTTTCCTTTCTAATGAGAAAACTGACCATTTTTGTTCATAACTAAATAGCAACTTTAAGCACATTTTTTTGTCGTTAATAAATAAAAACCATGACATCCTGTGAGAAATCCTTAAAATATCACATATATTCACGAAGTTTCGCTTCTCGAACAACCGTGTTTTTTCCCCAGACCATTTCTCATCCTTGGACATTATTATCTGATATCCCAGACGCCAGAAGGGGTTTATTTACTCAATAGAGGCTTTGCATCATCACGTGCCGGCGCCTTCGACTGCCTGTGGTTAGATGGCAACAATTAAGTTCCTTTGCATTCTTTATCATGTAATTGCATTTTTCATGCCATCTAACACGGCTGTCGTGCCGTCACGTGATGGTGCAAAGCCCCTATAACGAGGGACGGGAATAAGCGCCAAAGTAGTTGAAAGCTAAATTAAAATATTTTTATACAATTGTTTTATAAATATATAAATTTTTTGAATTATTTATTTTTAAGAGTTATTTAAAGCCATTTTACGAAACGCTTTAATCGTCGTTATTACAGTTCATCGTTCATCATTTCAATCCGACAGACCAGTCATAACTTGACAAATGGTTCTCTTTATAACGGGAACAGGGCAGATTTTGCTTCAAAGCTTAATAATTACAAAAAATAATCCATGACATCTTGTGAGAATTCTGCTATTATTGACCAACCCGAGGAACATTAATCGACGTCATCAAAGTTCCCTAAACTAGAATATAAAAGGAATAACATTGTGAGAGCTCCCATTACTAAGCACTGTATGTGAGCATGGCTACTCAGTGGATTCTCTTGCTACTGTTGGGGTGTGCCCTTGCTACTCCTTTTAGTAGACTAACTCCAGAAGAAGGTAAGCCACAAAATATCGATTGCTTGAAAAATACGTTATGAGTTGAAAAATACGGCTATTAAAAGTTTGGATGGTCACTGAGAAGAAGTTTTTTTGAATTTTGCAATTATCTTTAACTAATTTCATTACTTTAATGTTTTAGAAGCGCGTCGTCAAAAACGGCAAGAATTGTTGGAAAACCCCGATACGAATCTCGTTGATCGTATTTTACTAGTGAACGAAGGTATTTTGAAATTAAAAGTCAAAAAAGATAATTGGATTCGAAAATAATGAGAATATGATTAATTCCTCTCGCCACTGGGAGGGAGTAAAAGTGGTAGGGACACTTAGAAGGAAAGTGAATGTATTTATATTTCCCTCAAAATAAACTCTCTTCTGGTTTGACACAATCATACCTAGTTTCATCATTTTGTTTCTCATGGGTACTATCATGTGTTTTTTTTCTTGGTTCAGAATTTATTCTGTTATGAAACTCTCAGGTAAACGCCTACTTTCTAAAGCCCAGACTTAAAAAATTCACGATGTGCACTGCTCCTTCCCTTATACTAATTGCGCTTATTTTTTTTTTCTCTCGACAGAAACTGACGCAGATTCGAATTTGATTGACGGGGATATCGCGAAAAACCCCAAAATCCGAAACGAGAAACGAAGCAGCACCCATAGGGAAGTAAATTATTTATGGAAAAGTCGTATCATTCCTTATGTCATCGATCCCTCACTAAGTAAGTTTTAAAAGTTGATGATTCGATTAGTAAAAGTAGGAGCATAAAAACGAGAGAAACATTCCCCTTCTGGTTTATATCGCGGCTGTGTGCCTACCACTTTAGTCAGTGTGTTGATGGACCACTTCGAAGATATGGCGGCCATCTTAAATCGCATGGTATTATGGGCGTCCAGGAGGGCTAATAAAGCTTTGTCATAGTAATGACGTCAGCTCACCACAGGAAAATACAACAAAAGATGAATTAAGGCGGCACATCGAGCACCTTTACCCAACACACATCATCAGAGTTACAAAAGCATATACACCCCCTGCAGCACTTTGGAATGCAGCTCGATCTGAGGGACAAAATAACCAGATTTAAATTCTCAGAAGATTGGAATTCTTTTGTTTTAACCCCCAGATCGAGCTTCTTTGACGTCACATGTAAGGGGTTTATACGAATGTCGTTATACAGAAAACATAAAGAGACTTTTAAAAAAATTTTATTTATTCAAAACGTTTAAAATTGGGTAACCAACTTGTATCTGGTATTGAATATTTCAGGTGATGCAGTAAGCAATATCACTAAGGCTATTGCAAACTTCCACGATAAAACCTGCATCAAGTGGGTTAAAAGAACTAACGAGCCTTACTATTTGCTCTTTAAAAAACTTACAGGGTAAGTGTATTTTCAAGTAGAAGACTGAACAAGAGATTGGGGCAAGTTCTAAATTTGAAACTAATAAAATAGCGTTTGTCAAAATCAAAATCAATTAATATCGGTGCGTCTGGGCTAATGCTATGGGGTCAAAACAATTTGCCGTAATTTCTTATGCAAAAAAAAAAAAAAAAAGAAAGAAATAATCCATTGTTCCCCCCCTCCCCTCCCCCAAAAAAATTGCTATCGGGACTCAGTTTAAGGGTCTATATTTTGGAAATTATTTTTTAAAAGCAAAAACTTAAAAAAGTCTTGGGAACACTGGTACAGATGCGGGGTTTCAAGGTTCTGCGAGTGACCAAAATCAGTGCATGTTGGTTAATCACCTAGTAAATAATTAATGGTTTTCGAACACTGCCCCAAAAATTTCTTTCTCAAGTTCCTTGGGATATGCGTGAAATTTTCAGGGTTATAAGTCTTAAGGTTCAAGAACGCAAAACAAAACAGTGCATGATGTAACTGAATGTGCTGTGGCACTACTAAAACGTAGCGAATGCTGAGAGGGGGTCACGGGAGAAAGGGAGTATCAATATATCCTGTAACCATGATAAAATATTTTGGTCTTCTTAGATGTTGGTCATTTATCGGCCAAGCTCAAGATCCAAGGGGATATCAAGAAATATCAATCGGCAATGGTTGCAATTTTGTCGGGACAATCATGCATGAAATGATGCACGCCGTTGGAGTATGGCACGAACAGTCTCGACGTGATCGGGGAACTAAAATTGAAATCATGTGGGAGCATATTAAAGATGGTAAAGACCCGACCCTTGGCATAAATGTACTAATATTAAGCAGATCTCAACTCTCTAAAATGTTCATTAACACTTCTTACGTTTTTGCATCAAAGAGGGCATAGGATGTATAACATATGCATAACAGTTTCGTCAACCTAATTCTGTGAATATTAAGTTTTATTATCATATTTTCAAGGTGTGGATTCAAATTTCGAAGCCCATGGCCAAGAAACACTTAATCTTCAAGGAACTCCATACGATCCTGACTCCCTCATGCAATATGGTAATTATGCTTTCAGTAAGGATGGAAAGATGACTATCCGGTTGTTGAGTAACCCAGAAGCTGTATTTGGACAGAGAGAGGGATTCAGCAACGATGATGTGATTGCACTTAACAATCTCTACAGCTGTTCAGGTATATCAAATTTCTTAGATGTGTGTTCATTTATTTATTAGGATCTGTCAATCGTTTTAGCCCTTTGCCGCTCTGCTTTGTTATGGTGTTCTTACATATGCTATATCATGATGTGCTGGGCATACCGCACCGTGCTGTACAGTGCCGTGCCGTCCCGTGTTGTCCTGTGCACTCCTTTGCCGTGCTGTGCCGTGCCGTGCATCCCATTCCGTGCGGCGCCCTACAAGCTGTACTGTGCTGTGCTATACAGTGCTGTGCAGTGCCATGCCGTGCCATGCCGTGCTTACTGTACTATATGCAGTGCTGTGCAGTGCAGTGCTATGTTGTGCTGTGCTGTGCGGGGCCGTGTATACCGTACTATATGATATGCAGTACTGTAGAATGCCGTGCCGTACTGTACATTGCTGTGCCGTGTCGTGCTGTGCTTTTGCATGCCATGCAATCACTATCCATAACAGGCAATGTAACACGACTGTTATAATACGTTTTTTTCCTTGGTGCTTTTAGTCACAGACGGTGGTTGGAGTCTGTGGACATCTTATTCTCCATGTGATGCCAATTGCCTTAAAAAACGATCAAGGTTCTGCACCAATGTGAATAGTGCCGCCTGCAATGCTGCTATTCCCGGAGGCATAGAACAGCAGACAAAAGTTTGCCCTAATGAAGAGTGCTACGGTAGGTAACTTTATTCAAGTGTCATGGTATTTGGCTATGACAGTCCCTAGCCTTTGTTGGGTTAGGTTGATCGTGCACTTTGACTACATAGGAAATGAAAGAATAGAGTTCACTTCGGGTTTTACTTCCCCCATGAAAGAATAGTGGCAACGTAATACATAGTAGTAGACACGAAATCCATTGTTTTCTTTTGTTTTACTTGGACTGTTAGGCACAAGAGTGCAAATAATATACCCGTGAGATATGCATCTCGACAGATTGTTGGCATTAAGGTATAGACATAGCCATAGACATAGTGAGATTTTACTTAGCCCGTGAAAGAATAGTGGCAACGTAATACATAGTAGTAGACACGAAATCTATTGTTTTCTTTTGTTTTTCTTGGAATGTGAGTCACTAGTTAAACAAAATCAAAGTAAAATCAAAGTAAAATCGAAAACAATCACCCTAGTGACTCACAATTTATTGTTTTTGCAATACCTCTTTAGAGTTGTGCTACTCTATCTTGAGTAACAATTGGTCAAACATCTTTTCAGTAAATTTACCTATGTTAAGATATTTTATTATTTTGAACAAATCTTTAGCTCCGGTTGCTGGACACTGGGGCAAATGGTCTGCCTGGGGCGCGTGTAGTGCAACTTGTGATGATGGTAGCCACACCCGAACGCGAGTGTGTGATGACCCAGCACCCAAATACGGTGGAGCTGCCTGTGCTGGAAGCAACAGCCAAACTGGTGTTTGTAAAATCAAATCCTGTGGTGGAGGTTAGTTCACCTCATCGTTCTGTGCAATACCTTGCTGTTTTTTGTTGCTTTTTCTTGCGTCTTGGCTAGTTTTTCTCAGTGTCCTTTGCGTTTCTTTTTTACTTAACTATGTTTATCAACTATGCTAAGTGCGGTTTTCGTTAACCCGTGAAACAAAGTGTACTTAATAACGTGTAGTAGTCAGATAAACACAATAGAAAACAAAAGAATTGTAGTTTGTTTTGTTTTGTTTTGTTTTGTTTTGTTTTGTTTTGTTTTGTTTTGTTTTGTTTTGTTTTGTTTTATTTTACTTGACTTGACTTGACTTGACTTGATTTGACTTTCGTTTTCGTTTTCGCGTTTCTTTTTTACTTAACTATGTTTATCAACCCGTGAAACAAAGTGTACTAATTAACGTGTAGTAGTCAGATAATCACAATAGAAAACAAAAGAATTGTAGTTTGTTTTGTTTTGTTTTATTTTACTTGACTTGACTTGACTTGACTTGACTTTATCTTATTTTATTTTATTTTTTTCTATTTTGAATTTTGATCTTCCTATACTTTATTCTGGAATCATTTTGACTTCATATAACATTCATTTTCTCATACCTTTAATATAGGTCCGGGAGACTGTGAATTCGATGATGATTCTCAGCCACTTTGTGACTGGCAACAAGACGCGACAGACACCCAAACTAAGTACCCAGACTGGCTGAGAGGATCTTCTACTAAAAGTTCTAACACAGGACCAGTCGGAGATCACACCACAGGAAGCGGTATGGTTTTATGCTATATATTGACGAGGGCAGGTTATGATGGAAAGGGCCAGAAGACAGGCAGGGCAAATATCCTTTTTCGTACCCAGACCCAACTCATTGGCCAAATCAAATCGCCAAACCCTTTAGGTTTAGAACCGAAGCTTTCCTTCAGGAGGTCGTGGTTTAAATTCTCGAGTGGGTCTTAAAATAATCAACTGAGGAGAAGGTGCTGCCCTTGAAAAAAATATCTACAAATTGTCTAGACCTTCACATGACTCGGATGACTACATAAAATGCAGTCCTTGGACGTTTCTCCACACTTCCTCACCCTACCTCGGAGGGAAGTAAAAGAACTACCCTCAGCATCAAGCTTCTGCTAATAATTTCGTAAAGGGTTGATTGTGTAGATATATGAATTTTGAGGGGATTGAAAGTCGGTGCAATGTACACCCTTCGAAGGGAACCTAGTGCCTAATTTGCTTTGCACCAATCTGTAGGCAAAATCTCAAAACGAAAAAAATTGAACTGGACAATCTGGCCTTAGTGTAGCTAAAAATTAATGTATCAAGATATTGATTTATGATTTCATTTTAAAATTAATTATTTTTTCTTTAAATTTGATTTATATGCAGGCAAGTTCGCCTTCGCAGAAGCATCTGGTTGCTTAGGAAACGAGGGAACAACCATTAGACTTCAGAGCGTCGATTTCCCAGCAACAGGTGGTCGATGCTTGACCTTTTGGTATTATGCTCTTGGTGCGAAAGTAGGCCAACTTAACGCATATGTTCGTGACGTTGGTAATGGGCAGATGACAAAACTGCATGGAATTTCGGGTAATCAAGGAGCAGAATGGAAAAAATTCAATGTACATTTCTCCCATGCTTCCACTTACAAGGTGTGTTGAATAACTTTTTTTAAATGTATCATCACTCTATAATCCCATATAATCAACTATCGTATTATTTTCAAATTCTCTTCCTTGTCCAAATTAAAGATTAATTTGGACCGTTTCCATTCACATTTTTTCGAGGGAAAACTATGACTTATGGAATCAGTGTAGTATAGTTTGGGATGATATAATTAATCTGCAATAGGACGACATGTGAAATTTGGAAATAATTGAATTCAAAAAATTCCTCTGACTGCCAAATTGGACTCCGCTTATCGTCCTCTTCCAATTCTGTCAGTCCTCGGAATTTTTTCATCCAATTATTTCCAAATTGGATAGCATGTATTCCTATTACCAATACATATTGCTTTTGGAGTCAAAATAGAGTTTCATTACCTATTGCAGCCCTATATGTTTGACTAATGACTAATGTTTTCCTTTTTCTATACGTGGCGAGTAGATCGTATTAGAGATGGTATGTGGCGGAGACTATAGAGGAGATATTGCTGTTGATGACATTAAATTCAATGACGGTCCATGTGCATAAACACCACAATGATGAAAACCGTGATCAAGGTAAATTATCGTTATATTTATGAAGATTATTGCAAGATTTAATTTAAGGAAAAATTTGTGGGAAAAATTATTTTACTCACCGATGTTAATAAAAATTGATAATAATGATAATAGCAATAATAAGAATAAGAATAAGAATAAAAATAATAATGTTTGTAAAATCAGTATTGCAGATATTTGCTTTGACTATTCATGCCCACACTATTCTGTTTTCATGTAGCAAAAATGTCAGACGTTGAAATAAACATTTAATAATAACAATAATAATAATCATAATAATAACAATAACACTAGCAATAATAACAATAATAATAATAATTTTTAATAATAATAACAATAATGATAATTATTATTATTATTGTTATATTAGTATGTGATATGTTTAATAAGATTTGAAATTATAAATAGGACAAAATAAATGAAGTAAAGCAAAACAAATAAAGAAAAGTCATTATAGTAAAGCAAAGCAATGCAATAAATAAATATGAAAAGACTAAACATAGAGAGTTTATAAAAGTTATTTAACTCTTTTGAATACAGCTATTTCGAGGAAGGTTAGTGAAGGTTTTCTTGCATGTTTTGATGCTCCATCAGTTTTGCATATTGCTTGTTGCTTACTAAGTTTGAAATTAAGTAATGATGTGTGTACGAAGTAGGCAGATTCGGCTACATTCTTGCAAAAACGACCGTTTGACACAATTTTTAATTGGATTAATTCTGTGCTTCTCATTGGCTCAGAGATCTGAAAGCGCGAATTTTGAATTACGAATGAAATTTACATCCTTATGAAACTGCTTTCAGAAAAAATCAGTATTAATAGAACAAGTGTAGAAAACTAAATTGTTAAAGGGACTCTGAGGTGCCAGACACATCATAGCTTAAAATGTACATCAAACCTTGTTGATTTTGAAAATCGAAATGAAAATTCCATGAAATGCTTTTTTGGGGTGATATCGTCAGTCAAAGTTGCGAAATGACTTAAGCTGGGCTCCCTGTGGAATATCGCGGATTTGATGGCTTGGGATGAATGTCTCACTGTCGCTCACTGTCCTCGCTCACACTTTCATCGGGTGTATTATATTCTTCTCCTCAAGCAATTTCCGGCTCAAATTGATAAAGAACAGCCATACTTCCATAGCGAAATTTGGTTGATTCAGCTCCAGCTATCCAACATGTTCCACTATCTGACGTCATCACACCTCATTCATCCCAAGCCATCAAATCCGCGATATTCCACAGGGAGCCCAGCTTAAGTCATTTCGCAACTTTGACAAACGATATCACCCCAAAAAACGCATTTCATGGAATTTTCATTTCGATTTTCAAAATCAACAAGGTTTGATGTACATTTTAAGCTATGATGTGTCTGGCACCTCAGAGTCCCTTTAAAATTATATTCATATGTCAAGAAAATATACTGGAAAAATCACGTGCAGATAAAGTTTAGGAAAATTCCATATCGTTGTGACCTATTTCGCTGATGGTATTCATATCGCCCATAGTGTAACAGAAGCTTAGCGAGGGGTCAATGCACCATTTTCCCGCCAAATCCACAGGAATCCCGCATGGATTTATAAATTTTGGTGCCGAAAGCAAACTTTCGGAGGAAACATGCCCCCTGCCACCTTCCTACGGTAGTGTAGTGCAATTTGGACTTGTTATGGGACATGCAACATGTCACAGATGTAGCATGCAATACAACCTTCTACAACCTTTTTTTGAAATAGTTGTATACTAAAATCAAATTTACTCTTTTCAAGATTGGCCACAAGGAAGTGACTCACAAGAGAGTCCCGACACATAAACAAAAGGACTAAAATGACACTCTAAAAGTAGTATGCCGTAATCAACCGACGATAAAACCCATTTCCACCCACCCCTACCCTACAACAAAACATCTAAACACGTTCCCCATAAATCTCCAATGGTCGTCGAGTTATATTTAAGGATATTTAAAGATATAAATTGTTAATTGTAACTGGATAAACTGTTTGATTTTGATGATATTAAAGTATTGACGAGCATTAAACCGATGTCTATAGTTTGAATAATGCCCACTAAATCCTGATTGAACTTGTAAAGCGGCAAGGTCATAAAAGAAATTCTCGTCGGAAAGTAAATGCTTTGTCTCCTCACACAGTAAATTCATTTCTACGATAGATGTAAATTTGGATATATTTGAAGACAAAGTCCGAGTAATTCTCCTAACCCTAACCCTAATTCTAAGGGATTCTTGAGATAAGAAATGCCGGTTCTCTAACATTTTTTTCATTCTACCAATCATAAAAAGCTAAAATCCCTGTGTTTCCAACGAAACAAAAAGCTAAACCCATAAAAAGTGTAGGATTCGGAAGTTATGTCTTTTGAGTCATTGAGCTTATTAATCAGTTGTAACTTATTCCCACTACCAAAACTGCACCTCTTTGTTTGCACTGCTGTATGAGATACAAAAAAGCTTTCTAACCACAGGTAGCCCAGGCTTACCGTTAGTGTTGAACTGAATCGATCGAGAAACAGACAGACAGACAAAGATTATAAGGGTATCATATGGGTATTTTTTCATTTTTACGCTTTAAAATAATTAAAATCAAATAAAACTCTCACCGTGTGTTGTTGATATATTGAACAGTCCCATGGCTTAATTACAGCTCATTTCGTTTTAAGCCATGATAGCACCCATATGATACCCATATAATCTTTGTCTGTCTGTCTGTCTCTCGTTCGATTCAGTTATTCAACACTAACGGTAAGCCTGGGCTACCTGTGTTTTAACTGGGCCGAACTGTAGTTAGCTATTTCTTATATAAGTAGTATAGGGGATGGGGGTTCCAGCGCAACGACCACCGGAGGATTACCCGTTTAAAGTGAATTCCTCGATTCGTACCGCGATTACCCGCATCCCGTGT